ACTCCTACTCCTACTCCTACTCCTACTCCTACTCCTCTTCTTTCTTTTTTCTTCTTTCTTCTTTCTTCTTCTTGAATATGCAAATACTTTTCTGAAGCTGGTCTCTTCCAGTGATCTTAAACTTCCATAATTCATCAGTTGCTTGGGAATTATGGGACTTTCTTATCCAGAGAGCTGGGGGACACAGGTTGAGGGCATCTCAAGGACATCGTTGAGATACAATGGACACCAGGTTCAAGGTATCTCAAGGACCTCTGTTGAGGGATGGTAGACACCATCTTTCCTTCCTTCCTCCCTCCCTCCTTCCCTCCTTCCTTCCCTTCTGTCTCTCTCTTTCTATCTTTCTTCCCTGATCTATCACCATCCCGTTCTCCCTCAGACACCCTCCATGACCTCCTTGACGGCTGCAGCCTACATGCACTCGGTCCGCTGGGCCCTTTGGCAGCCTGTTCTGGATGCGAATGCCGAGGACGTGGTCCTTCCCTTGCGAGGCGGAGCCCAGCTGAACCCCCACCACGTCCTGGTTTATAAGACCCCTCCGGACACCATGAGCTCCGAGGAGGTGAGAGGCCCTTTCCCCGCTTGGCTCTTGAATCTCAGATCTCGGCGGCGGTGGTGGATGGGGACGATGGGTCCTGAGGCAGAACGCGGAGAAGACAGGAAGGGAGGTTGCAGCGATGTGTAAGCTCAAGAAGGTTCATTTTGGAGAACCCAAGCCCCTTTTTCTAGGTGACCTTTGGGATTTAAGCCCGTGTTTCATTCATCTACGCAGCAAAGCATTGTGGGAATCAAACCATGTTGGCTTCACAACTGCCGTGCAGGTACCTAGGACCAGGTGAGAAAGATACATATATATATATATATAATAAAATTGCAGGTGAAGCAGGTCGAATCGGGCATCCTGGCGTTTCAGTTCTCCACCAGCTCCGAGGAACGACTGGGAACGGCCGCCAAGCCTCCGGGCGTCAAGAGAAGAACGAAGCTGCCATCGGTCCGATCGCCCGGTGAGGGGTTCTATCCCACCTTCCTTCTTGGGGGAACATGTGGGGGGCCATCAGACCCCTTCCAAGGTTGAGCAGGCCCTTCAGGACAGCGGTGGGGGTCAGAAACGTACGACCGTTCAAGGTTATGACAGACAGTGGGGAGGTACTTACAACACAGTTACGACACTTAGCGATGGGAATTTTGGTCCCGGTGACTTCTCATCGGTCCCTTTTTCTAGTGCCATGGTTGCGTCAAACGGCTGCGGAATAAATGGTTGTAAGTCGAGGTCTGCTTGTCCTCCAGAGGTCGTAAAGTGGGGCTTAACAATATGTCTCCCTCAGCAGTATAAATGTGGGGCTCCCTTGTGGTCGTAAGCCGAGGACTTGCCTCGACTCTCTGCTTAAGGACCGGAGCTGCAGCTTAGATTTGATCCGCTTCCGATTCTTTTTCTTTTCTTTTTTTCCTTCTCTCGACGGAGGAAAAGAGAAAGAAAAAATAAATAAATCAAGATTATTATTTTTTCTCAGCCACTAGAGTGCAGTCCGTTCTCGTTTTTTCTCTCCTTTCCTGCTCTGGAAATATTTTGGCATGGACCAGAGATGGATTCCAATGGGGTTGTTGAATAGATGCTAAAACCTAGAATATAGAATGACAGGAGTAGGAAGGGACCTCGGAGGTCATCTAGTCCAACCCCCTGCCCGAGCAGGAGACTCTAGACTTTTCCAGACAAGTGGCTGTCCAGTCTCTTCTTGAAGACCTCCACTGGTTAATTGATCTGGGTTTATAGGATTCTATGTTTTATGATCATGGTGACAGTTCTTCCTCTTCGTCCTTATCTAGGTTCACCTCCTTCCGTCCAGATGTTGGTTTCTACTCAGGATTATACGCAGGGCCCCGGGGTAAGTCTGTCTGTCGAGTTCCCTGCAGGAAAAAGAAACAAAGGAATATTTTCCGTTATAGCCAGTCCTCTACTTACAACCACCATTGAGCCTTAAGAACTGCCTCGATTAGCAACTGAAACTTGGGGCTCAGCGGTGGTCGTGAGCCGAGGACCCCCTGCGCCCAATTCTCACCTCGCTTCACAAGTGACCTCTCCTTGCAGCTGTCGATGTCCGAATTGTCGGCGTCCCCGATAAAGAGGACCGTCCAGACTTTGCGGCAGCCGGTCAGCGATGCTGAGCCGTCCCAGGACAGTCTTCAGCCGGCCGGAGAGGTAACCACTTCGGACAGGCCTGCGCAATCAAAGACTAGCCGAAATTCCCGGTTTCCTTTTCGACAGAAAACCCAGCTTAGCTTTTTGAGACCCTCCCTTTTCCTTCTCTCCCCTCCCAGCCGGAGCGGAGCCAAGCCGGCATCGCTCACCTGGAGTCCGACTTGAGCTGCGGCCCCCAACTCGAGGATTCGTCCCTGGTGGACCAGCTGCAGGAGCTGCCCTTCACGCCGGTCCACGTGCCCATCCTGGCCCTCGGAGGAGCACCTTGGCGCAGGTGAGGCCCCAGAAAAAGAGGGAAGGAAGGAAGGAAGGAAAAGGGAAAGAAGGAAGGAAAATGGGAGGGACGGAGGGAGGAGGAAGGAAGAAAAAACGAAAAGAAAGGAAAGGAGAAAAGAGATTGAGGAAGGAAGGAAAGAAAGAAGCAGAGTGGGAAGGAAGGAAGAGAAATGAGAGAGAAAGAGAGAGAGGTAGGGAGGGAGGGAAGAAGGAAAGGAAAGAAGGATTCAGAATCCCCTTCCTTCCCCAGCCCGAACACTGGCCCCACCCGGGCCTCGCTTGCCCGCCTGCGCACGGCCGGATTCCCGGAGCTTCTGGATTGCAACAAGGAGCCGGTGGAGATGCTGGATCCCAGTGATCCCACCCCCTGCAGCCCCCAGCAGGAAGGAGCCGACCTCCTGCCCGACCACGAGATCCACCTGCAGTTCCTGGCCTTGAGCAGGTGGGCCAGGCCTCCCGGTTCCTCCTCTGTGCACGTGAAATTTACTCCTTTGCAGGCTTTTGCGGCGCCTCAATTTACGACTGCCTTTTTCACTCTGTGTCCTTGGGTTTGTCTAGTGTGGTGTTTCTCAACCTTGGCACTTTAAGGTGTCTGGAGTTCAACTCCCAGAATTACCCGGGCGTTAATGCATTTCTTTTGATGTACATCCCTAGTGTGTGCCTGCTTACTCTCTTATAATCCCTTTCTCTGCAGTCTCTCCACTCTAGGAAGTAAGAGGAGGGGGGGAAAAAAACGGCATAGCTGGCTGGGGAATTCTGGAACTCTTAACGGGTTGCTGAGTGCTAGGATTTCGGGCTTCGCCAGTTGAATTTCCGCTCCTTTCCTTCCACCAGGCCTGCCCAGGACAGCCCTGCCACCTGGCCCCACAGCGTCTACTTCACCCTCCAGTTTTACCGCTTCCCCCCGGTCACCACGCCACGGCTGCAGCTGGTCCAGACTCAGGCCTGTGGGCCAGCGACCCACATCCTGGCGCAAATCAACCCGGACGGGAGCCCCAATCTCGGTACGGCTGGGACGCAACAGGGGAGACTGGTAGGGAGAGGACCCGCCCACTAGTGAGCCAGGCCAGGCGGCTTCTGGAAGGTTCTTGCCACCTTATACACACTGGGCCCGCTCCTTCCCTCCGCAGCGCCCCCTGGCTTCCACCTGAAGTACGCGGTGGACGTGGCCTCCCTCAAGCCAGGAGAGCCGCGCTGGTTCCTCCACTACCTAGCCCAGCATTCCCTGCAGATCGACGTCTGGGACGGGGACTCGCTGCTTCTGCTGGGATCGGCTGCCGTCAAGCTCAAGGTAGGTGAGGCAAGGCCTCCAAGGCAGTCCTCCAGTTACGATCGGGGGGTAGGTCAACCCCTGGAAGAAGCGAGTTACGTCCGATTTTTTTCACCCGGTGTCTCCGGGGATCACGGGATCCAAATTCAGACGCTTGGCAACCGGCTCGTGTTTATGACGGTCGCAGCGTCCCCCGGGGGGGGGAGGGTGTCACGAGATCCCCTTTTGCGGCCTTCTGACCGGCAGAGTCAAGGGGGGGAGCTGGATTCGCTTAATGACCGCGAGACCAGCTTAACGGATGCAGTCATTCGCTTAAAAACTGGGGCAAGGTTGTAAAATGGAGCAGAAGCCGCTTAGCCAGTCTCTCTCCCCTAGCGACAGAGACCTGGGGCTCCGTGGTGGTCGTAAGCCGAGGACTGCCTGTATTTCCAGGGTGGGGGCAACGGGGACAGAGGGAGACGGGCCCCCCACATTCAGCCGTGACCGGCCACAGCTGGCCTCCCTTCGCAGCACCTGCTCCGCCGAGGCCGTCCGGCCGTCCAGGTCTGCCACGAGTTGGAGGTGCTGACCGTGGAGTACAAGCCGGACGTGAGCCTGCTGAGCGGCCAGGGCTTCCGGCCTTGGGGGGTCAAGCCCATCGGGGTCCAGGCGGTCCTGCGGGCTCAGCTCCACCTCCGCCTGGCCAACATCGGTGAGTGCCTCTTCTGTCCTCCCTCCCTCCTTTTCTTTCTTTCTTTCTTTCTTTCTTTCTTTCTTTCTTTCTTTCTTTCTTTCTTTCTTTCCTTCCTTCCTTCCTTCCTTCCTTCCTTCCTTCCTTCCTTCCTTCCTTCCCTCCCTCCCTCCCTCCCTCCCTCCCCTTCCCTTCCCAGCCAGTGTCACCATTCTGCGGGCATCCTCCTGGCGCTTTGTTCTCCATCTTGATCCCCTTTGACCATCTCCTGGCTTTCCCCCTTCGCGTGGGCCTGCCACCTTCTCCCAATCGTTCTTCCTTTGTAAGAATCCAGGTCACTTCTCAGCTTCTCTTCTCCGTGAGCCTTTGAGAAGGCGAGACGGAGGACGGGGAAACGTGATCCCTTTGCAGCCGTTCTTTCGTTCGTTCCTTCGCCCAGCCGGCTGCCTCCGATTCCTACCTCTGTCAGAAAACAGATTATATGTATATGTACAGTATATGTAGTTCTTTAGTTATTCAGGTTTTCTCCCGCGTAGAATTAGAAGTGTCTTGGCGACGTTTCGACGAAGTCACATTCGTCATCTTCAGGCTGGTGTCTTCAGCTTCGTGCTTCTGGGAGTAGATGTACAGTATATGTATATATATATATTCCTCCCTCCCTTCCTTCTACTTTCCCCTTTCTCCCTTTCTTTCTCCCTTCCTTCCTTCCTTGCTTCCTTCTTCCCTCCCTCCCTCCCTTCCTTCCTACTTTCCCTTCTTCCTTCCTTCCTTCCTTCCTTCCATCCATCCATCCATCCATCCATCCAGGGTCTCCTGCTTCAGCTGGGGGTTGAACTGCAAGACCTCCAAGGTCCCATCCAACTCTGTTATTCTATCATCCCAGATCAATTCATCAGGAGGAGGGCTTCCCCTCCAGAAGTGGTGGCTGCTCCATCCCTGGAGGTTTTCAAGCAGAGACCGGACAGACATTTGTCCAGAATAGTCTAGGAAGGGGGTTGGGCTAGAAGACCTCCAAGGTCCCTTCCAACTCCTGTTATCCTGCATTTTGTATCATCCTGGAGCTCAAGGAATGGATCAAGGTGGCTGCCCAGTTCTGGAGGACCCCCCCCCCCACCCGTAGAGATGAATTTCCTTGCCCCCGAGGAGGAGCGAAAGCCGGAGAATGGGGTTCCAGAAGGTTCCATCTCTCCTTATCTGAACCTTTTAAGCTGCCTTCCCAGCACCCCGGCGGGGATGAAAGGCCGTCTTTGGAAAGGAGCTTCTCTCCTTCCCTGCCGCAAATCAAAGCCTCTCAGACGCCGGAGGTGTCTCCTTTGATACCTCTGCCTCGGCTCTGAAAAGGCCACCAGCCTTATTCTATTTTATTTTTATGAGAAGGAGAGGGAGGGGGGAGCTTTTGGGGCTTGCAGGTTGGGGAGGAGATCAAAAGAGCCATCAGGGCTCTGTGAAAGGACTGGATAAACCTATTATGCATCAAGGTGGTTTCTCCCCCCCCAAGTCAAAGGCAGAGAGCCCGCTGAGCCTCACTCGGGGGTCAGAAACACACAAAGATGACTGCCACTGCGAAGCAAGGTGGGGAGAAAGAGAGAGAAAGGAAAGAAGAGAAGAAGAAAAAGAAAGAAAGAAAAAGACAGGGAAAGGGGAAGGGAGGAGAAGAAGGGAAGGGAGGGAGGGAGGGGGGAAGGGCAGGAGGAAGGAAGAAAGGAAAGACAGAAGAAAGCGAGGGTGAAGGAGGAGAAAAGGAAGGAGGGAAGGGTAGGAAGAAAGGAAGGGAGATGATAGGAAAGAAGGAAGGAAGGAATTTGAGGGCATGGGTTTTTGGCAGCCGGAGACCCTCCAGGCGCCCTCGCCAGAGGTTTTCGTACGTGCAACTCCGCGCAAGGTTTAATCATTTTATTCTTGTATAAAACCGAGATAAAAGACGAACGCGAAGTGAGGAAAAGCAGAGCAAGGAAATCAAAAGTGGAAGCTCCAAGTGCAAGTAGAAGAAAAAGTGTTTTCTGATCTTGTTACAAGTACAAATTATAAATTTAGCTCTTCCTCTCCGGTCGCAGCCTCGCTCTGTTCTTCCTCTGATCTATTCTCTCTAATCCTCGACAATCATAAACGCGAAGCTCGTTTTTGTTCTGTTTCACGCCAAGGAGAGAGTCCATCGGGGGTTTCCAGTCATCCCTAAACCCCCGTATTGTCTCTCCTCTGATCAAAGGAGCCGATGCAACTATCTCAGCAGCTTCCATCCTCTCCGCCAACCGTTCCTCCATCTTGGGCCGTGTCACCTCTTCTTCCTGCTCCTCCCCTCATGCGGTCCTCTCGGCGGAGAGATGAAGATCTGGGTTGCTCCATCACCTTCATTATTCATGAAGAGGAGATGTCTTTGTTTCCTCCGTCTCCTTGTCAAAATGGAAGCTCGCCTGAGGCATCCAGAGATTTTTTATTTATTTTTTTGTTCCAAGGAGAAGAAGCGAGACGGGCCAGAAGAAACCACAAGAGTGTGAAATATATATATATATATAAATATATATCCGTCTCCTTCAGATCATGATGAACATGAAAGTCACCCGCTCGACGGTTGCCAAGCCTGGGAGATGGGTGAGATGCGGTTGACGTTTTTAGAGCAGGACACGGATCACCTCATGAGGTTTCCATTCCTCACGTTCCACCAGCGTGACCAGGATCAGGCTTGGGCTGTGCGGAGAGAAGGTGTTTTGGTTTCTACCATCGGTCTCCTGTTCCGTGTATGAAGATCTGGAATGAGGCGACACGCCAACGTGATGCAATTGTGAGGCCCTTGGATAAGCTTCCTCCGGTGTGTGGTCTTAGGAACTGGGGTGATGTCTCGGCTCTCTTTGACCTAAAGAGCACAGAGACGAGCGACAGAGACAATGAAGGTCATCTTGGAAGCTGCTTCTTAAGAAGAACTTGGATGTGTTCCGCCTAAAGAAGAGAACGCTAAGGGAAGACCTGACAGTAGTCTTCCAATCCATGAAGAGGTCTCAAGGGGAAGAAGATCGGATTCGTTCATAGCCCCCAAGGATAAGACAAGGGCCAGTGGTCTGAAGGTCTACCAAGACACATCCAACCTTGAAATAAGGAGGAATGTCCTCGGCTATTAAGCACTGGAACAGCTTTCTGGAGGGATAGGGCTCTGTCTGTGGAGAACTTGAAGTCAAGGGTGGACGTGGTAGGATCAGAAGACCTCCAAGGTTCCTTCCAGCCTCAGGATACTATGATCCTGAGATAGACAGATAAGATACATGAGGGAGGGTGGGAGAGATGGATGGATGGATAGGCAGAAGGATGGATGGATGGATGGATGGATGGAGCGGCTTGCCTCCAGAAGCTGTGGGTGCTCCATCACTGGAGGTCTTCAATAAGAAACTGGACAGCCATTTGTCCTTAATGGTCTAGGGTTCTGCTTGAGCATGGGCTGGACTAGAAGACCTCTAAGGTCCCTTCCAACTCTACATCTTTTAACCCTTCTCTTCCCCACATCCCAAATAGGGGAAGTTCAAAAGATCTCTGATCTACTCCAGCCCCTTCTCTCATCCATGTACAGGATAAGGAGAGTGGAGCTCTGCTGATGGGGACCCCCCAACACCCCCCCCCCCATCCTTCCCTTCTCTTACAGGCCACCGGAGCGAACGGGGGCTGCGGAGGTCGCACTCCTTACCCCCCTCCTGTAGACGGGTCATCTCCTCACAGGACGGGGCCAGAGGCTTCCCTGGTGGCAGTTTGGTCTCCATCAACCCTCACAGGGGTAAGTTTCCCTTGATTTGGGGGGGGGGAAATGGGGGCGGGAAACAAGGTCAACAAGATAGGTATATTTGTTGAGTTTTTTTCTAGATTTGCAGGCCCAGGTTTAGTGGGGAAAGGTCTCCTCAATTCTTTAATTTTCTCTCCCTTGGATGGGTGCCCACACTTCTTTCCCAAGGAGGCCTGCAATGGCCTCCTCACTGAGGACTAGGGACTCTGTTCTGAGGAACAATGAATCACTGGAATGGCCTGCGCCCAGAGGTTGTGGGTGCTCCATCGCTGGAGGTTTTTCAAGGAAAGTTCAGACTGCCTGTATATAAAATAATAATAGAATAAGATTAAAAAAAAATAGAAAAGAGAAGTTTTTGCACTTCAGATTTCCACTTCCACCCTCTGTGTGTGTGTGTACGTGTGTGTGTGTGTGTGTATGTGTGTGTGTGTGTTGTAAAAATGACTTCAGCCAATTTGTCACTGCTGGGGGAGAGCGGCCTGAACCGGGAGAATCAATTGAAGGGCAGCTAAGCGACAAATAACACTGAATTTTCTCGTTCTGTGCCAGCGGTTTTGATCTCACTTCCCTCCTTGGATCAAAAACTCCTAACTGGAACTGAAAACTGCACAAAATTGTGATTTCATCCAAGATCTGCAATTTTTATATTATTTTTTTGGGCCTTTCGGGCTGCTCCCCAGCACTATCAGAGAGTCCTCGACTTTACGAGGCAAAAATACCCCATCAATTACCATTACGGGACCCCCAAGGCCCTGAGAACAGCCATAAATGCTGGCTAGTTGCCGAGTGTCACGTGACAATGCGGGTGTGGCTTCAGACTTGGAATTTGGGCTGCATGTAGCCCTGGGGAGGCCCATCGCAATTTCACATTGTCACTTAAGTCGCCAGTCGTAAGTCAAGGACTTCAAACGGTCACCAAGCCACCGGTCGTAAGTCACTGTATTAGGGCTTCGAATTTAACCTAGCCGCGGTCGTTGCCCGATGGAAACCATCGTTGACTGAACCTTAACTGAGTTTGAGGTGGGTTGGCTTGACTGCCACCCTTTGGCGCCTCTCTTCCAGTCGGAAACGTGTGCCAAGCCAAAAAACTGGCCGAGGTGGACAGTGAGCTGGCCGCTCTCCTTTTTTCCCACTTGCGGGAAGTCAGCGCCGCCTTGCAGCCCGCCAACCAGGAAGGCGGCCTCACCCGACGCCGAAAGTTGGAGAGGATGCTTTCAGTCCGGAGGAAGGAATCCCAGGAGGGCGACATTGGGAGGAAAAGCAGCTTCGTCTTGGTGAGGGACGTGGGGATCGGATACAGGCGGGGTCAGCTCCGGGCCCAGCTGACCCGCCCTCCGTAGTTTCCTAGGCTTCCTAGGGGAGGGAGGGAGATGGAAGTCCTGGCTTTAACAGGAAGCTTGAGAATGCTTCCTGTTGGGATGCAGAACAGAAAACTACGTTTGATTTGAATCTGAAATGTCTTCTAATTAAACCCGAGGACCTCCCACCCCACTTTTTCTTGAGGCCATCTTTGTTTCTCCCCCCCCCAGGGGCACCACGAAGACCGGGTTCAGCACTCCCGAGACCTCCAGCTGATCGAGGCGTACCGGGAGCGCATCAAAGCCGAGAGCATCACCTCCATGCTCTGCCAAGCCATCACCACCCACCACACCGTCTACGCCACGTTGGGCACGGCCGAGTTCTTTGAGTTCGCCCTGAAGAATCCCTACAGCGTCCAGCACACGGTGACCATCAGGATAGACAACCCGGAGCTCAGGTAAAGAACAGCAGGAGGTCACCTGCCCATTGAGAAGAAGGTTGATCTCTTCCTTGTGGGACTCCTTTGGAAGCTGTAGGAAAGGAAGGCCCCCCAAATTCAACAGGTGTCTGCAATGCGTTGTCACTCTCTGTCCAGTGTTCCGAGGACAAGCCAACCCAGATTCAGTAACTTCAACATTGGTTGGAGTAGGTGGTCCTCCAGGTATTGTTGACCTTCAGCCTGATCTCCAACCAAGAGACAGTGGAAGTTGGAGGTACATCTGGAGGCCACCTATAATTTCCAGAAGGTGACCCAAGGAACCCCTTGGAGATGCCCTCTCTCCAAAGCCACCATCTCTCCATTTTCTTCATTAATGTGGTCCTTGCTCTTCTCCTAGCGTCATCTTGGACGTCAGAGAGTGGAGGCGTTTTAAAGAACTGACCCAAACGGTCACACCATTGGAGGAGGACATGTTTCATCTTCACAACGGCCTCACCCCTCAGGTCTACCTCCGTCCCAAGGAGACGGTCTACATCCCCTTCAAGTACCAGACCTTCTCCACGGAGCAGGCAGCCATGATGCAGGTAGGAAAGTCCTCGCCCCTTGCTTTTTCCACACAGGGAGTCCTTGAATTACATCTGTTCGTTCAGCCACTGAGGTTGTGACTTCAAGTGTGAAAACTGGTCCTAAGTCCCTTTTTCCAGTGCCGTCGTAACTTCGGACGGTCACTAAACGGGTGGTTGTAAGTCAAGGACTACCTGTATTCATGTAACTGTTGTCTTTTAAACCTTGTTGGAGATGTAAAGCTGGGTGGGGGTGGGGGAGAGGGGTTCCTTCACGGTCCTCTGCCATGCCATCTCTTTGATTTCCAGCAAGGTCCCCCCGAGCTGACCTCTAAGGAAGGTGAGAAGATCTGCACGGCCGCCTCTTCCGGAAAGTTCAGCGAGACGCTGCGCATCAAGGTAATAATGCAGGAAGTGACCTGTCATCTGAATGGGGTGAAAAGCTTTTGGTGACCCTGCTGAGGTGGGCAGTTCCCTCCTTTGTGGGTTGGACACTGTCCAGAATCCATGGGACGGCAGGAACACCATGGACAAAAGCTTAGGGAAGTGGTGTCCTGGATATTCTTCCTCCTCTTCTTCATCCCCCTCTCCTCCTCCGCCTTCTCCTCTTCTCATTGTCCTCCTCTTCTCCTTCCTCTCCTCCTCCTTTTTCTTCTCCTCCTCTTCCTCCTTCCTCTCTCTAGATAGTCCTTCTCTTCCTCTGAGTGTCTTCTTCTCGTCCAGGTGTCCTTCACGGTGGGCAGCGGCAAGCCCCTCGCCATCCTGACCGTCAGCGTGGAATCCCAGCCCCACGCCGTGGATCAGACCTTCCGCTTCTACCACCCGGAGCTGACCTTCCTGAAGAAATCCATCCGCCTGCCTCCGTGGCACACGCTCCCAGGTGGCTCTCCAGGTTCTCCTCCTGGCTAAATTGACCGTATTCTGAACATTCAGGATACGTAATGCCCCATCATTGCAGGTTGACCAGCAGCAATTGAGCGATTGCATTGAGATTGGAGGACTTTTTGATGCTTTATGTGATATAAAAGCATTGAAATCTCCCTGGGTAGGTCTAAACTAATGTTTCTCCACCTTGGCAACGTTAAGAGAGGTGGGCTTCAACTCCCAGAATTCCTCAGCTGGCTTTAAGATGGGTGGACTTCAGTATCAACCTGCTGGCAGGGAATTCTGGGAGTTGAAGTCCACCCATTAGGTTTTTAGTTGAGTGGGTCACAGTCCGTTGGAGTTGCCGTCACTGATAAAGGAAGAGGGACATTTGATTTGAAGCCCTCAAAGATCAGCAGCTATTGAGACCCTCCTGTTTCTCCTCGGCAGGGGCTCCTGTAGGTGTTCCTGGGGGAGACCCTGAGATGTTTGTCCGCTGCAGTGATCCCAACGTCATCTGTGAGACCAAGAAGATGGTACGGTTGACCACCCTAAGCTTTGTGGGTGTGGTTGGTGGGATTGATCAGGGCAGGAAGCGGAGTGTTCAAGGGGGAGGGGCTAGAACAGGCTAACCTGGCCTTCGCAGGTGAACAAAGACCGTCCCTTTGACTCAGAACCGATGGTGTGGATGCACCAAGGTGGATCTCTCCAACTACGACCTACTTGTACCCGAAATCCCGTGTCCTAATTTTAACTCCCAAAGGAACCGAATTAAATCTGCTCTTGATCTTCTCCTCCAGGGACCCGGAGAACCCCAGGACATCTTTCTGAAGGTTGCTGCGGGTTCAAGTCCCCAAATCCAGAGATTCTTCGTGTTGATTTACACGTAAGCGTCGCCCTCTTTAAAAGCGATTCAGACTCCTCCGATCAGCCGTTAGCCCAAAAAAAAAAAAAAAAAATTGAGATTGTGGCCATCAAGCTGGGCTCATCTGCCGGCATTAATTAAAAGGAAGGCGAGGTTGAGATTTAATTATTAAAGCAAGTGAAATCGTTTGAGGTAGTCCTTGAGTTATGACCGCAGCAGAGCCCAAAATTTCTGTGGCTAAGTGGGTTTTGCCCTCTTTTACGACCTTTCTTCCCACACCTGTTAAGCAAATCACGGCCCTTTTCTCCTCCTTCCTTTGGGCAGAGACCCCTGGCTGGCCGCCCCCATCCAGGTCTGGCAGTTCTACCTCCACTGCCTGCAGTGGGTCGAGGCCAGCTGCGTCCTGGGTCAGCTGACCCGGCTTTCCTTGGTGCTCCGGGGGACCCACACCCTCCGTAAGGTGAAGGCCTTCACCTCCCACCCCCACGAGATGAAGGTAAGCTCCTCCAATTAGCTTGAGTGCTGAAAAATTGGGCAATCACTCCGCCAACATATTCAAGTTTCTAGTCCTTATGGCTGGAAACGGGCCTGAGACTGACCCAATCGGGACTTTTCAGTAAAACACTCCCAGCCACTCCCCCGTCTGGATTACTATGACCTGCTCTACGTGGGGGCTGCCCTCGTCACTAAACAAACTGTTGTTAAGTGGAGGATACTGTTATTTTGACCCGTGGTTGCTGAAATGTCGCGGTCTCTAACCGTGATCGGCATGGAGGCCCCGTCCAAAGTCCGCCAGTGACTTTGGACGGTCCTCTGTCCTCCGTTGCGAGAGCCGGCAAAGAATTTATCGCGGAGACGCCGGTTGGTAATTGCCTTTTGATTAAAGCTGTCCGAGAGCTCGCCGGGCCCACCATCCGGATTAATGAGGTCACCTGGAGGCAGATCGTTTCGTTAGGGGAAATTTTTTTAAGTCATAATTATAAATGGAGATTGTAAGAGAGAGGCCAACTCGGCTAGCCCTCCCGTACGGGAATAAAAACGCTGGAAAGTTTGGGGTCCGGTCTGAAAAGGGCAAAATTGGCTCTGTTGGTGGTGGAGACATTGTCCAGGGAGGGTGGCTTTGAGCAAGGTTGGGTTACGTTGTAAAGAAATGGTGCATTTATTGCAGGCCAAAGAGCATCCTTTTATGGAGGTAGCCCAGCATAAAACCTTCAGCTTCTCAGCCTTGGGAAGGGAGGGAGGGAGGGAGGAAGAAAAATAAAAGGAAGGAAGGAAGGAAGGAGATGGGGAGGAAGGAAGCAAGCAAGGAAAAGAAAGAGGGAAGAAAGGATAGATAAATGGTCAAGAGGGAAAGGAAGGAAAGAAAGGAAGGAAGGATGGGAGAGAGAGTAAGAATAAATGAAGATAGGGAAAGGAGGGAATGATAGGAAGAAAGGAAGAAGGAAGGAAGGAAGGAAGGAAGGAAGGAAGGAAGGAAGGAAGGAAGGAACAGGGTTGACTGGTGAATTCTGGGGTTCAAAGTCCCCCATCTTCACATGACCAAGTTTGTAAAGCGATCAGACCTGTCCCTAAAGGTGAGATGCCCTCCCTTGGGCTGATGGGACGCCGCTTCCTCTCCCCCCTCCAGCTGGAACCGGACGGGGTCTTCGTCCTGCCGGCCAACGGGGTCCAGGACCTGCACCTCGGACTGCAGCCACAGAGCGCCGGCAGCCGCTTCATCTACCTCAACCTGGTGGACGTTGAGTTCCACCAGCTGGTCTCCACCTGGCTGGTCTCCATGTCCTGCAGGCAGCCCTTCATCTCCAAGGTGAGCCTCGGGGGGACCTTCATAGAGCGAGGCCGAGGAATGATTTCCCATTTCTTGGGGGAGGGGGTTGTCACGTGACCCGGGGACGCGGCGACCGTCATAAATCCAAGGTCCCTTCCAGCCCTAACATCCTAGGTGGTTGGCCACGGATCACTTGAGCCCCTCCGTGTCCTTTTCCCACCGGCAGGCGTTCGAAATCCTGCTGCCTTCCGGGGGAGGGAAAGGGTCCAACAAGAAGATCACCTACAGCAACTCCTACCCCTCTCGGCGGGCCTATTTCCTGCACACCAACCATCCGGATTTGCTGCATTTTAAGGAGGACTCCTTCGAGGTGAGGGAGGTGCTCCCGAGAGGGCTCGGGGTGGGGTCCCTGGGGAGGGCCCTCTGGGCAGGGGGGGGCTATCCCAGCGTCCTTGGTGCGCAATTGTTTCCATGCAGATGTTTCCTTACCCAATTGGGTAACATCTTCAGTGCTCTGCACACTGCAATGATGGCGTTGCCTTCCAAGCCCCCCACAGGTCTCCTCCTCCTCCTCCTCCTCCTCCTCCTCCTCTCAATAAATCACATCCCCTTCTAGCACAGATGATCTTATCTAGTTGGGTCGTGAAACGTCTGCAAGAAAACCACCTAGCTCAGAGAGCACCAGGGACCCCACAGTCATCGTCGTCGTCATCGTCGTCGTCCTCCTCCTCCTCCTCCTCCTCCTCCTCTTCTTCTCCTCTTCTTCCTCCTCCTCCTCCTCCTCCTCCTCCTCCTCCTCCTCCTCCTNCTTCTTCTTCTTCTTCTTCTTCTTCTTCTCCTTCTCCTTCTCCTCCTCCTCCTCCTCCTCCTCCTCCTCTTCTTCTTCTTCTTCTTCTTCCTCCCCCTCCTCCTCCTCTTCCTCCTCCTCCTCCTCTCAATAAATCACATCCCCTTCTAGCACAGATGATGTTACCTAGTTGGGTCGTGAAACGTCTGCAAGAAAACCACCCAGCTCGGAGAGCACCAGGGACCCCCGTAGTTCAACCCTGTTTTCTACCAATGCTGTTCATATCTGGCCACCTCTGAGCCTCAAACAAAGCTGTAGAGCACTTTTGCACCCTGAAAAATCGAGGTTAATCCCAGGGAGTGCAAAGCTGTCCTGGGCAGGAAGGAGAGAAGGGTCCAAGCGGGGAGGGATGTCGGATATTTAACCAGGATCGCCCTCCTTTAGGGTCAAGGGTCCGCCTTCATTTCCCTCTGACCAACCTGGGTGACTCCAGAGCAGGGTGACCAGTTCACAAAAGGCACTCTCTCCCCATGCCCCAGTTGGCACCCCAAACCAGCTCCTTAACCCTCCTCCCTGCTCTCCCTCCAGGTGGGCGGAGGGGAGACCTACACCATCGGCTTGAGGTTCGCCCCCAGCCAAAACGCCGGTGAAGAGGAAATTCTGATTTATATCAACGACGCCGAAGGGAAGAACGAGGAGACATTTTGTGTGAAGGTCACCTACCAGTAATGGGGTGTCGGGTCGGTACCCCTTATCAAATTCAATCCCCCTTTATTTCCCTTCTCGTCCTCGTACCCCCGAACGGTCTACGAAGACCCCCTCAAATCCAAATCCTCGGGGTGCCCCTTTGTGCCTTTTATACCCATCGGCTTCTCCAGGGGTGTCGAGTTTTCAAGCACAAACTCAGTTTTTTTCCCCTTTCCTGCTGGTTCTGCTCTGAATTCACTTCCTGGGGTGCAAGTAGCTGGTACCCCACTAAGCGTTTTGGGTGACCCCATCAAAGACAAAAAAAAAAAAAGGAACACACGTTAAAAACCTGGAAAAATTTGTCTGCACCAGGACGGATCAGCTTTTCGAAACCTTCCAGCCTCAACTTAATTTGAACGGTGAATAATTAGCGCAGTCTTTTCTGCAGTTTTTTTTTTTAAGGTTTTATTCGCTGGGATTAAAATTGGAGATCTATTTTCCTCCGCCGAGCTCATATCTGCAATATTTACTGAATTTTGAGGGTCTTTCTTAAAAAAAAAAAAAAACCAGTAGCGAAGCACACAACTACAGACGCACACAGACAGAGTTTTTTGGGGGATGTACCTGAAAACCTGTCGGGTTTCAAGACTAAGAGGGGCTAATCTGCTCCCCCTCTCTAAAAAAAAATAGACCAGGATTAATGCATCTTCTCAACAAAGATGCCAGCGGCCTGCAAAACGAGCTCGCCGGCCTTAATGAAGAAAGGATTGGTGATAGCGAAAAAAAAATAAGGAAACCTGGAGATGAAACTGCTTAAAAAAAAAAAAAGGCTTAAGGGTGATTTTTTTAAAAAAAATCCATACGTATTAAACCTGGATCGTGCAAAACTTCAACCGCGGAATTAATTGCAGGCTTAGTGTCTGTCGACACAGCAGTGGGAAGCAAGAGGCAGCTTTGATACTCCTCTGCAGAAAATTTAATTCTGGAAATGCAAATGATCCTTACAAGTTGACGGGAGCCTTGGCTTTTTTGGCCAGGAGTATCCAGGTTTAATGGGGAGTTGAAGTGAGGCCTGTCACAGCTAACCAGGATTATGCTTCCTTATTTTGAAGGAGAGGAGGGGTTAGGTCTCCACAGTGGAAAAGAGTCACTTTTCATCTTTTAGGTAGAATTGGAGGATGATGAAGGCCAGGGAGGGAGGGTGGGAGAAAGGAAGGAAGGAAGGAAGGAAGGAAGGAAGGAAGGAAGGAAGGAAGGAAGGAAAAGAGAAGGAAGGGAGAAAGGGAGGAAGGAAAGGGAGAGAAGGGGAGGGAGGGAGGGAAGGAAGGAAGGAAGGAAAAGAAGAAAGGGAGGAAGGAAATGGAGGGAAGGGAGGGAGGGAAGGAAGGAAGGAAGATAGGAAGGAAGGAAAAGAAGGAAGGAAGGGAAGCGACCTGGATTGAAAGCAGATGTGTCTGGCACAATGAGGACTAGCCTCTTGTCCACCACTTTAAGGACGGTTGTTGGTGCAGGCTTGCGAGAATACAACTGAGGTTCTTTTGCTCTCCTTAATTTGCGCATTTTTAAGTTTAAAAAAAAACTAATTTCGCATGTTATATCCCAACAAAGCTCGTTAGCTGAACAAACCGGCCGTTTAAAAGAACGATCTGTCCCGTTTCATAGCCGGATCAGCCTCCCGGCAAAGGCAGTGGGGACCCCGAGCGGGGTTTTGCGTCGGCTAATCACCCTTCCCAAAGTTTTGCAAACTCTCGCCAATTAGTCCCAAAGCTGGGCCGATGATTAAAGCAAGGCGGCGCCGAAAATTCTCTTTGGTCCAGCTGCAAAGAAAACCTTTTCAAACTCCCTTTCCGGCCCTCGGTTCTACTTTTCCTCCTGGCCCTGCAAATTGCTAATTTTCAGGGCGGAAAGTCCAGGATCAAAAGAAAAGCGGCTTTTGAACGTGCTTTTCCATTTTTTGTTTCCGAGCAGTGCGATGGACTTGGCCGGTCGACATGGTTGTCGCCGGGATCCCTTAATTCAAAGTGTGTGTATGCAAAAGAACACACGCATACGCACACAGCACTGTGTTATTCCTCTCTCTCTCCCTTTTCTTTTCCCCTTGGTTTTGTCTACTTGGCAGGTTATTATTTTAATGCATTAAGTGTACAGGTAGTCCTCAACTTACGACCGTTGGAAGTTACAACGGCACTGAAAAAAGTGATTTACGACCTCTTTCCACGCGACCGTTGCAGCCGGGTACAGGGGGTGTTGCACAACAACCCTGTGAGGTGGGCTGGGCTGAGGAAGATACTGGCTGGGGAATTCTGGGAGTTGAAGTCCGCAAGTCTTAAAGTTGCCAGGTTTGGAGACCCCTGCCTTAAAGGAACATCCTTTCTCGCCCCAGACAGTAAATCTTGCTTTATCTTGTGACACGTTTGCAAGTCCTCCATCAACAAGTGGGTGCTTGTTGTGAAGGTGCACACAAAACCTGCTTTTTCAGAGGCCTCTTTTACTCTCCCGCGCTTTGGGTGGGGAGGAGAGATTTATTACCTTCTCTCTTTAACTCAAGGTCTATAAAGGCAGGAAAAAGACCACGACAATAAAACTGGCTTTTATTGCAACGGGGCGAGGTGCATCATCAAAGCGCTTTCCTTCATTCGGCTGTGATAATGTGGCGTATTAAATGTGGAGGGCTATTAAGCAAAAGGGGGGGGGGGAAGGAAAGAAATGTTGAGCATGGTAATGTGAGCCTTTAAAAGGACTGACAAAATGGAGAAGTTTGGTTAGCCTAGTTGGAGGATGGAGAAGAGAAGAAGGAAGGAGAAGAGAAGAAAAGCAGGTGAGGAGAGCAAAGGAGAAAAGGGTGGAGAAGAAGGAAGGAGAAAAGAAAAGGAAGGAAGGAGTGGAAGGAAGGAAGGAAGAGAAGAAATGGTAGAGGAAGAAAGAAAAGGTATAAGGAAGGGAGGACAGGAAGGAAGAGAAAAGGAAGGAGAGGAAAGAAGGAGATTGGGAAGGAAGGAGTGGAAGAAAGTAAAGAGGAAGAGAAGTATCAGAAAGGAGAAGGAAGATAGGAAGGAGTGAAAGAAAGGAAGAAGCGAAGAATGATAGGAGAAAGGGAGGGAAGGAAGGAAGGCATGGAAGAACGGAATATCTGAGCACCCACTAGGCCCTAAACCTGTCCCAGCCCATCCAAGGGGGGGGTTCCCAAATCCCATCTCTTTTGTTGCTTTAACCCCCCCCCCCCAAAAGGGTGCAAATCACCCCCACAGACGGCCTTTTGCCTCCGGCTTGCATCCTCTTTGGAAGCGCTGTGCAACACACACACACACACACCCCCAGGCCTTTTAACTGACGGATGGATTTTCCTGTCATCCAGGCAGGCCGGTTTAAATTACTCATTAACTTTTACAGCAGTTACTTGTTTTCGGTGACTTCCACAAGGACGAGCTGATATTAATCTCGACCCTCCTGGGACACAGCCTGGTATTTAAAGACGGCCCGGCTGGCAAACGGCTGGCAGCTTTACCGACAAATGCAAATAGATCATCAGCTGCTCGAAGCTATAACAAAGTTGACAAATTCTTCCCAAGGTTGTGTTCTCTTTTCTTTCTGTTGCAAAAAGGAAGGGACAGAAAACGGGGGCAAGATTAAGGGGAAACCTAAATGCATCCCTGTTAGGTTATTCCACCCTTCTCAACCTTGGTTGAGGTGTGGACTTGAAGCCCCAGAATTCCCCAACCAGCCATGCCCGGGTTTTTTTTTCTCCCATTGCCTAGAGTGGAGAGATTGCAGAGAAAGGGATTATAAGAGAGTAAGCAGGCACACACAGACTGAGAATGTGCGGCAAAAGGAATGCATTAGCACCAGGGAATGCTGGGAGTTTACGCTTCTCCAATGTGGTTAAAAGAAGTCTTAAGGTCTACTGGATTGAAATTTGGAGTGTGTTCCTCTTAATGTTTTTAATTTTGAGAGACGTGGAGGTGAAATGAACTTCAGAGTGCCATGTTAGCAAATGCTTTGAATGATGGAGACAGTCCTCTCATAGATGTCTTGAAGTAGATGAAATCCTTCCTTCCTCCCTCTCTCCCATCCTCTTTTCCTTCCTTCCTTCCTTCCTTCCTTCCTTCCTTCCTTCCTTCCTTCCTTCCTTCCATCCATCCTCATTTTCCTCCCTCCCTCCTTCCCTCCCTCCCTCTTTCTTCCTGCCTCCCTCTTTCCTTTCCCTTTGTTCCTCCTTCCTTCCTTCCTTCCTTCCTTCCCTCCTTCCTTCCTTCCCTCCCTCCTTTCCTTCTAATTCCGAGAAAACCTGGGAGGTGTGCTCCTCCTGTCACCCGTGTCAGAACCGTGACGTCTGCACAAGAGAAACCCCCTAATTAAACTAAGGGGGCCGCTTGCACACTCTTGGCGGCCTGCCAGCTGCCTAATGACATGTCGTCAAGCAAGATCTTTATTAGTTAAGATGAATATTTAGACTCGGTGCCAAAGTGAACTGATGACAGGCTCACTTAGAGCAGGCAGAGCGGTTGGGAGCAAACGCCTTCGCTACCGGCTAATGAGATTGGTTACTTCGGGCGGACTCCTAAGTGCGCCCTTAAACAGACTTGACTGGCGAGTCATTATCTTGACAGACGTCAAGCCAGGCGGCAGAGATGCTCGGCCAGGAGGGAGGCCGAGGTGAGCGCTTGGAGAGAGACGTGGATGCAGAATACAGAATAGACCGCAGAATAACAGAGCTGGAAGGGACCTTGGAGATCCTCCAGTCCAGGGGTAGTCAAGCTTGGCTCTTTTATGACTCGTGGACTTCAACTCCCAGAATTCCTGAGCCATGCTGGCTCAGGAATTCTGGGAGTTGAAGTCCACGAGTCATGAAAGAGCCAAGCTTGACTACTCCTGTGTCTAGTCCATGGACAGCTATTTATCTGGAATGGTGTAGGCTCTCCTGCTTGAGCAGGGGGTTGGGCTAGAAGACCTCCGAGGTCCCTTCCAGCCCTGTTCTTCTGTATTCTGTATCGAGAGAGTCAGATTGAGGAGTTTGTATTGGACAACCATTTCTCCAGGATGCAATAAAGTCTCCCGCCTTGAGCAGGGGGTTAGACTAGAAGACCTTGCAGCTCCCTTCGCAGTCCTAAGATTCTACTTTATGTTTACTTGAACGGTTTTCCATTCTAAGAGCTGAAAACTCTTCTCAGCTTTCATGAGCAAAAACCCACAAAGGCCTTAGTGAGCGCAGGTTGCCTCATCTCCATTGATTTGATGTTTCTTCATCCAGACCCGGCCGCTGTTTGAATGATCTTTCCAGCTTTTCTCCAGCGGTGAAAAAGCATTTTGTCCGCGAGGCAGACCATTTTGGCAAAAGTATCTTGTTGCGTCCAGAATTCAGTCTTTTACATTTAGT